AAAGAAGAAAAAAGGACTTAAAAAAGATTAAAAGATGGCTGGGTTTTTCTCTGTACAAAAACGTTTTCAATACTTCATCAGTTGGCCAGAGAAAGAAAATGAAAATGAAAATGAGCGGGAATGCGATTCACATCGGTTAATAAAGTGAATAGATAAGAGAAGAATGCTCTAGGAAGATGCATAACTGTTTGTGCATGCAGTATATGAGTGGTAATAAAAAGAATATGGGATATTTTGATGATTCTGTAGTGGAATGCGAGCAACAGAAAGAAATGAAACTATCATAGGATGGGAAAGAAAGAGAGAAATGAATCGTCTCATATATGTATGTTTCTCACTTGTACGTGGAAACATTGCTGACATATAGGAAAGGAAATTGAATGATAGCTTTTTATTATGGATGGCAAGGACTGGATGATGATTTTGAATAAGCAAAACAATTAAAAAAAGTTAAAAAGATTGAATAAAAGGAATTGTATCAGAAACTTTCATGCATTCGAGACAGGAGGGCGGGGCGGAGACGGTGTGAGATTGAGTCCGGGGTATCTTTTGCAGTGAGTATTTGTTATCGCGATTGGCGAGTAAGAAAAAGTGAGGAAAAAGTGAGGAAAAGCATCTGAGCTAAAGTTCTATAAGAGACAGAAGTAATTGTCGTCTTAGTCTATTCCCATTGTTTGTAATTGTCTTGAGGCTACTTCATACGGCTTTGAAGCGGTATTCAGTTTTTGTATATGTGTGTGTGGAGACGTTGCTACCCGGAGCCGCTGGTTGTAGTCCCTGCTGTCGGCGCCTGCTTCCGATCGATATCCCTAAGATTATCGTTTATCCATGAGAAACTCTTTTCTAGATTCAAATTTTAATGCTGAATCTGAACAAAATGAAATTCGAACAAGTTCTCGATAACAGGATCGCAATAGTTTAAAGCACTAAGACATGCTTTTTTCATTGGTTTTGTCCACATATGTTTTACGTCCTGGCGTTTTGGATAATAACCGCTTCTTGAATACTTCAAAAACGGTTTGCATTTGCAGCTTCGAAATCATTTTGTTCGGATTCAGCATTAAAAGCTGAATCTAGAAAGAGTTTCTCACGGATAAAAGATGATATTAGGGATGATTGATCGGAAGCAGGCGCCTGAAGTGCTCCCGGTCCATTTTGTAAACTTACTTAACGTTTATGTGAAGACATGAAGCCAAGTAGACTGTGCTATCATAATCGTCAAATTGCGGATAACAAAAGTATAATCCTCTGTTTTTAAAATTTTGTTTCATTGTCGAGACCTATGTCACTAATATACTGAAAAAGATAATTTTAACATTTAAAAGTAAAAAGAAAGTTGGACTAAAATAAAATTTTGGTAAGAGTTTCTATAAAACCCGCAGAAAACTGGGATCGCATCATATCCCTTCATCGATAAACCTCTAAGTTTGTCCGACTTTTGATTTTTGGTCGAATAACGTCTTTAAAACGCTTATAGTACTTACCTGTGCTGAATTATTTATATTTTAAAAAAAGTTAAAATTTTAATTAAGAGTTTTAATTTTACGCTGAAGACTCTTAGGATGCTGTGTGTAGAAACTGGCCTAGGCCTACTGTCTCATGTAACACGCCTGTTAAATAAAACAAATGCTATGAAAATTTTACATTACTTTAGCTTTGCTTAGTTAAACTGCAATGTAAACGTGTATGTTTATGCTTCAATTTATATTTGTCACTGATTGCCTATCTCATCCGTTTCATGCATGATTGGCTTCTATAGATGAGTCACAGGGTGCATTTTTCACATAACAAGCGGAAACGTTGTTTTTCTTCGTGGTACACCTTTTACAGTGTAAAGTGATTCGTGATTGCACAAAGTACCGAGGAAAGTAATACTGGAAGGTATTTCTGTTGCTGCGGTAACAGTAATATTTCATGTATTCCTATTACTAGCATCAGTAATACTGAGAGTATCACTGACCGACATTCAGTATGTACATAGTGATTTGTTAATTTTTATTAATTACATTTATAATGTGAAATTTTATGTTAGTGACGTTGAATCACCATGAATACAAAAACGAAAAAAGGAAAACGAATTGATAGAGATATGACACAATATAAAATTTACCTATTCTGTCGCATTAGATGAAGCCAGCTGTCAAATGCATATAGATGAGAAAATTTTTACACAATTTTTCTAATTCGAGGAGATGCTTCAAATAGACAGCAAGAGATGATACCAAACGTTAGAGAGAGTATAGAAAGTTCCAAGTACAAAAAGTGCACAAATCTATGTAATAAACCTTTTTTTTCATACCACTCTCAAAAAAATATTATTATACGACAGCCAAGAATTATACGGAACAATTTTGAGAAAAAGTCGCGAGTTTCGTATGAATTCATTGTGGTAAAATTTTAGGTTCGTTGTGAATACACCAAGAACCCCAAAGCCAAAAACTCTGAATAAAAAATATTCAAAGTTAAAAAGCTTTTGTACCTATGTATGTACGAATATAAAGATAGTATTTGTCAGCTGCGAAGTGACTATGTAAAGTAATACACAAAAAAAGTAGTCTGACGCGGGAACCCCACGAAGTGATTAAACGCTTTTTGCTCGGAATCTAGTGGGTTATAGGTTATCGACCATGTTGATTACGAATACGACCATGCGGCTTCCGGATAGCCCTTCGAAGACCTGGTTTTCTAGAAAACGAGTTTTTCAGAAACCCCAAAAAATAACCCGAACCGTTCTTAATGAGGCATGACTGTAGCCCGCAAATTTCTGATTAAAATGAGACCTCTCCCAACTCCACATGACCTTTCTTTGCAAACTTATAGAATTTACGACAAAAGCCCTAAATGTTCATTGTTACCTAAAAGCTACAGAAATAAGAAGAAATTAATTTAGGGCTCTTCGTGTAAATTCTATAAGTTTGCAAAGAAAGGTCATGTGGAGTTGGGAGAGGTCTCATTTTAATCAGAAATTTGCGGGCTCCCTCGTGAGTAGAAAAATTGAGTTGTTCTGCTTCACCGCTGCTGCCGCTGAAGGCGGAGCAAAATTGTTGTGATTTCCGCCGTCGCCATGCCGTTAGACTTTCGTCGTCACCGAGGGCGGAAAAAACTTTTTAAGTTGACACTGGAGTTCTTGAAATGTTTTAAATTAATCCATTTGAACTAGTCTGATACAAGTTGGTGGCGGCATTCACGCATGTGTTGTTTTATGTGCCATTCTCCGTTTACGTATCATTTTTTTAAGCATTCACTTGTCAGTTCGTTTATTCAGTGCCGGAAAAGAAAGGGAACGTTGTTTTAGTCAATTTTGGAGACGGACAATCAATCGCCGCGGACAACCAATTTTTACACGCCGCCGCCGTGAAAACTTTCATAATCTCGCGCAGCCGCCGAAACTTTTTTATCGGTGCACATGTCTGGTTGTACATTGCTTTAATATACGTAGATGGTAACGAAAGTAGAAGACGTGTGTATTATCTCCATTTCGCGTCGACTTTATTAATCTTTACCGATTTGAGAAATGAAATCAATAACGGAAGCGTCCGAGTACGAATACATACTAGAGTACAAAATTTTTAGTACTCGTATTCTGAACTGTTTTTAAGGAGTACTCAAAAAAGTACTCGAGTATCTCCCAAAAACTGATCATCTTCTTTTTAGTGCTCACGTTTCAAAAAATCGGCTGTTTTTTGAGAAACTATTTCTTTAATTTGCTCTCTACTTTTTAGAAAATAACACCCGAACATCCATGTACTTGTCCATCCCTAATCAGTCTGACTTGTGCTATGGTGTTTTTATATGATCAAATACAAACAATCTAATGGACGTGAACCCACACATCGAGGTAAGCCCTCTACTTTTGAACGCGATCTTTTATACTTGTTACAATGAATTTATTAACTATTTACATAAATAAAAATAGAAGACTTTATTCACTTTATTAACCAGCCCATTCAATGTAGCAGTCATCATCATCAATAGCCGTTTCCGGATCCTGTACCTGATCTTTAGACGTAGCAGTACCAGCTGAACCAAAGAGATGATGCTGATTAAGTAGATGAAAGTGTTGCGATTTAATACATACAACAGAGTGGAAATGATAAAATTGTTGAAAATTATTTTTAATCCAATTATTATCGAGATTCCAGAACCATGAGTTATCTTTAACATATTGTTGATCTTTTTGCTCTTCAGTTTGTTGTTGTATTGAATTACGCTGTGCAATTTTTCTTATAGCCCATATATCCTGATTATAGTGCGGGTTACTCATGTACTCATATGGGATATAAATATATCCTTTGTCTCCCCAATGCGATCCATAAGAATTTCGAACAATGAATTTTTTATGAATATCATTATAGCCCACGGCTAACATACAGTGTCCTGCACATCCTTTTTGTTTATCCGTTTGACTTGGCATCAGTACATGTCCTCCATTGTGAGCTGATTGAGCAAACGAATCATATGTCATTAAGCCAAATGCAAATGGATATCCGTCAGCTAATGATTGCTTCATTTGTTGAAGATTAGCATTTAATCTAATTCCTTGTCGATCATAAACTATATATGGACTAGCTTCTTTATATGCATTTAATGATGGTTTTGTATTTACATGAGCAATATTATATGGCCAATAAGATTCTTTACAAACACCCTTTGTTTTTAATATGTGAATTGCATCGGAAATATAACAGCCTTCATCTCGAATATGTTGACTTCTATGTGCACGTGCATTAAAATAAATAAATAGTCTACTTACATCAATTTGTTTTCCAGTTTCTTTTTTAATTAAGTATTCATAGGCACCGGCTAACGCGTTACCAACACTAAAATAAAAATTATTATACAGATGTATGTTCTATGGATGTATATTTTCTCTGTTCTTACCAACTGTTAATCTGTCCTTGACTTTCAACGGTGGTACAGTCTTTTCTCAAATCGACAATTGGCGGAAGTTGATTAATTGAGTTTTGAATAGATCCAAATTGTATTGTATTCGGTGCATCATTAACACCATTCGGGTCCAGTTTAACACCATTTAATGGATAGGTTTGACCCGTTTTTTTATTGACTATAAATGCTTTTTTCCGTTGTTGAAATAATCCTTTTATTATACCAGTTCTAGCTTCTTGTTCAGCTGTATAACCATATCGATTTTTTAATGTAGTTGAAGCTCCCTTGTCCAATAAAAGTCTCACAATATCATCGTGTCCATTGTAACTAGCCGCATGCAAAGCAGTGCTACCATTTGGTTCAAGACGATTTATTTCATGTTCCGTTATTGTTATTAAATATTCTTTTACTTTTTCTATATTATTATTGCGGCAACTCAAATAAAATCCACTCGGCTGTTCAGACATTTTTTGATCAGTTTTTCGTAGCAGAAGATTTTTCGTATTAGTTATTTAGTTTTATTTTATCTATTGCATCCTATTTGACGGTCATATAAGTAGAGAAGAAAACTATCGCTTCAAATCACAATGCTTATGAACTAAGAGTAAGAGTGTGTTACTCTATTAGTCGGTTAGTAACAGAAAAGACAAATAGATCAGCAACACTATGTATATATTCGTTATATATTCATTTTTCTTCTGAAACCAGTAAAGATGAATAAGACAGAGGCGAAATGGAGAATAATACACACGTCATGTGCTCTCACAACATCTTGACACATATATTAAAACTTACAGTAAATATTTACACGAAAAGAGCAAAATTTAAATGATTTAATATAGTGTTTAAAAGAGTACGATTCATAAAGTATACTTTATGAATAATAATCATAACAATGTGTAACGATAATATAAGGTGGCACCAATTCGAATTTGCAGCACTATTTCTTTTCTTCTTTTCATTTATACATGATTGGATAGAGCTCGTCGAGCTGGGTACGAAAAACTGATTATTAATTTTTCCAAACATTTTTTAAGGAAGAAAACTCGAAGGGCCTACAACTTTTCGAAAACCTTTCTGTTTCAAAACGGTTGCGCAAAACAACTTTCTATGAATTTTAAATTCAATTCTCGGTATTATGTGGAAGATCTTTCTTAGGACACAATACGAGTTTCTCACTTTCTTTAATCTACTTTCAATGTGTTTGCGCCACCCTAACTTCGTTCCTAGTTCTACACCTAAACACTTAGATGAGGTTACATACTCTATTTTAACATTTTTGTACTTCATCTCAGGTTTTCTAACAGCTACCGCGGCGTAAACTGTCATTGCTTTTGTTTTGGATACATTATCTGACAAGCTATGATCGTCTGAAAATCTTTCTAACGATTCTAAAACTATTCTCACTTGAAATTCTAAATATTTAATGTTTTATCAGAGAGTCTCTTTCCTAGTGCGCCTTTTATAATCATAGTAGATCGTCCGCGAAGAGATGACAGATAATTTGTAAAAAGCAAGATGGCAGAAAGTGGATATGAAGTCTAAATAGAAGTGCTGCTGATACACTGCCTTGTGGAGCGCTAACTAACACAGGAAACAATCTAGACTTAGTATTACTGTGACTTATACTCATCTTACGATTTTTTAACCAGTTAAAAACCCAATGTCTCAAATCTAAAGGCATCTGTAACTTTTCGAGTGTTTTCATAAGTGCTGAATATCACATCTTATCAAAAGCCTTTGCGAAATCTACAAAAATAGCAAGAGCGGGTCTGTTACATGCAGCTATTATTAATCTAAGATCGTCTCCTATAGATAAAATTCTAGTTTGAAGCCTTTTTTGCGGTGTAAATCTTGACTGCTCATCTAAGCGGATTCTTTGGCCACTACACCATTTTTCAATTCTCGCTGTCCTAACTCGTTCAAAAAACTGTTCCTAAATTTGGTAAGAGAGAGATAGAACGCAGACGATCTTCTGTTGGGTATACATCGTCTTTTTGAAAGTCATATACCTTTGGCGATTTTTCCTTTCGCAAAAAATTCTCCAGCTTCCGCACATTTATTAAAAATTATTGTGATCGTACTTAAATACTCAGGAAGAAGTTTCTTTAACAAAAAGGCAGACTTTTTTTTCAACACTATCATGCGCTTGTTTCGAGGCGAACTTTTCCATTGTAGAACTACTTCGAATTTAATTTGTACAAGAGAAATGTTCGGAGTGTTTTTTATTCTTTCATACACATCCAAACATTCCGGATAAAAAGTATTATTGATATGATACACAGGCTCCGAAAAATGTTTTTCATAATAATCTGCTAACTTATCAGCTATCTGTTCGTTGTCTTTCAAAACACCGTTATTCGTTGTTAAACCTCTGAAAGAGGTTTGGAACATAAGACCGGAAAAGTTGCTTAACACAGGACAAGATGTTTTGTCCCACTTTCATATATTTCATTTTTAATTCTCTTTTTTCTTGCTCAACTTAACTTTTTCTTCTACATAAACACGCTGCCAGCATTTAAAGTTTTTGTAATCGCCTAGAAAATGCGTTCTTCTAAATTCTCTCTTTAGCTGTTCTAGCTAAAGTAATTAAGTGAATCGGTCACGGTAGTCAAAAAATGTTTATACTTTCATACTCACTACATCTATCACATAAGGCAGCTAGAAACTGTGAAAAAATATTAAAAAAACAATTATAATCTAAATGAAAAGAAGAAAAGAAATAATGCTGCAAATTCGAATTAGTGGCACTTTATATTATCGTTACACATCATTATGACTATTATTCATAAAGTAACTTTTCGTCGGAAAGATGACGCTATTTTTCAACAATAAACGCCTTTGTCAATCAAAAATTCATGGACATAAAACTTTTATTTAATGAAATGGAGAAAAAATTGAATTTTGCCACATACTGTAAATAAAGTATGTGTAAATATTTATTTAGTGTAAGCTTTAATATATGTTTCAAAGTGTTACGACAGCAGATGACGTGTGTATTATTCATTACTTTTTTTCTTCTCGTGGTTTAACCGAGACATTATGTAGATTAGCAAAAATTGCGGTGTAAAAGCACTATCTACTCTAGTGGTAGTACTTACAAATGCGGCCTTGGTTTAGCCTTATACAAACGCAGAGTGATCTACTTACCTTACAAGTTCAACGTAAAAATCATTACAAACTTCAGGCAAAACAAAATTTACAACAGCCTAAATATAGGATAAAATGAGAGAAGTTTTATTCACATTAAGATCTTGAGCTAGTCTACTCTGATAAGCGTTTCTTACTGTTTTACGTTCAAGAGAACTCTCCGTACTGATGTATCAAAAAATGTATTACAACGAAAAAACGGGAAAAGTCCTTACAACACGTATTAAGAGTCAAAATTATCTATTTCTTAAAGACGTTCTGGATGTTTTCCCTCAAACTATCCAATTGGCTTTTAAAAATGGTGATCCTATACCATTTGTATGGGATGCAAGTGGTAATCGACTTACTCCTGATAGAATAAAACCATATTCGAAGATTGTTCTTCGTGCATTTGTTCCAGGCAAACAATGTTAAAGGTAGATCATGAAGAAATAAAAAAAATGTGTGAAGAAAGAAAAACAGCTCAATCAGATATGCCCAAAAGAATAGATGGTGCTACAGCAACTATAATCGAACATCAAAGTGAATGCTTTAATTCCGAAGTTCCTCGACTATTTATTATACCTCCAAGGCTTCAATCGAAATATCATCCACATAATTGGGTAAAAATAGTTATCGTTTATTCGTTCTATGTGATTGTAAAGATTCACAGCAAGTTCATTTTGCAGTACATGAAGGTTATGAATTTAAAAACCTAACGGAATTTATGAGAAAATATCACTCACATATTAAAGTATCAATAAAAGTTTTGCAGTATGCTCTATTAGCAGGTGCAACGTTTATGTCGATATTAGGAACTGCAGCATTCGATTTAAACATTCCAGATCTATTTTTGGATAGTGAATTTTATAAACAATTCTCACCAACTATGAAAAACATTATTGAAACATTGATATCTCTTCCGAAAAGACATAGCATTTGGATGAAGCTGAACTTCGACAACTTAGTAGCTTTATGCGAAAATGGGATACGAACATGTCCTAATCTTTATAAAAAAATTGATGGTAACAAGGGCGCCATCCATGAAATACTCGGTTCAGTTAAAAGTGTTAGTATTGTAATCCCTATTTCTAGGCTTGTCCAGTTTTGAGCGACATCCTCCTCCTAAAGGACGTCTAAGAAAAAACGTGGCTTTTTCCACTTTCACAGTGCAATGTTGTGTCACTGTCGCAATCATGTATGACAGGTGAATAAATTTTATCCATTCATTGGTGCATGTTTCACAAAAAAAGATTAATAAATTATGCGATTATACTCAATCCGTTCCCAGGTCGAAGAAAATGACCTTAGAAAGAATCATTGAATGCTCATCTGATGATCGTGAATGACGCATAAATGAATCATGTTTAGATCGTTTATGATCATAACTAGCTCATTTTAAGGTTATTTATTGTCACATATCTGGCACATAATAAGGTCATTTTTTGATGAGCTAATTATGACCTTAAAATGGCCATAGATTTATTATCATATTTAGCTCATTTTTGAATCATTTATAGGTCATTTTTACATCATCTTTCTACCGGATTATATTGGATGATCATATTAACGTCATTTTTAGATCATAACAGATCATAAATGAGCCATTTATGTATCAGTCGCATGAACGAATTATGAGATTAAAATGGCCCAAAAAAAGCGAGGCGCTTTTGGATCATTTTAAGGTCATAATTAGGTCATACGAATGATACATTAATAGGTTACATATAACTAATCTATAGTATAAGAATTCGATGATTTCTTTCCTCTGGCTTCATTCGAATATAACGTTTTTCATTTCAGAGAAATAACCCCACGGCCAGAAACAAGCCCATTCTCAAAATTCAACCCCGATGAAGAGTCTCAAAGGTTGATTTTTCTATGCTTGCTAGAGTGCTGGATATCAGCCATTACAGCCGTTTTCTTTTCTTTTTTTCAGCCTTGACTTGGCCAAAGTGTGAGAAACATGAAAGAGCCTCCTGTGAAAGTAGGGTTTTAATGTTTAGTTAATCAAGCGGAAGCAAAGTGCAGTTGCACTTTGTTTTTTGAAATGCACTAAGTTTTTGTCAGTTTTTGCTGCGACGCACTTTGTAAAAAGTTGTTTTATGTGGTGAGGGTGAGGTATTTCAAAAAGCAAAGTGTCCGTTTACTTTGCTTCCATTTGGTGTGCTAATCATTATGAACACTGCTAGTACATTCATTCATTCATTCTCTCTTCATTCTGCTCTGCGCCATTGTTTATAAAGAAACATGTTAACCAATCTCGTCCATGTCTCTTTGTAATCTGTGTGAGACTGACCACTGTAATATTAGGGCAATTTTCTCTGCATTAGCTAAA